TCCGCTATCGAGTCGATGTGGTATCGCGGTTATTGGTATTGTGAGTATTTCGATCGACAACGGTTAGCAGCCAAATTGAGTATTAACAAACAATTCATGTAATCGGACGTCCACTGAACTATAGTCGGCTTAGTGGTGAATAGTCTGCGAAACTTTGGTTGATTTTTTAAACTAACTCTCTAATATTATCACCAACAAAACATAAAATTCTCGATGATATAAAGAATTTTAATTCAAAATTGAAATAAAAATCAGATAAAGAATCGAAGTTTTTCATTTCTCACTACTATGGAAACATGATTCCTGAAATTGATAATCTCTACAAAACAAATAACAATAAATTAATGTAAGAAAAGTTTCATCTCTTAATCAAAAGATTTTCAATCATTCTTGTAATAAAATTTACTTTTATTATTAATCGCATAGTAATTTATATTAATGTATGTTTGTAATTTTTCATTTAAAACATAGTAAAGAGAAAATTTTTGCATTGTATATGCAGTTGAGAAAGCGCAGAATGTAAAACACAACCATTTTCTATAGCATCTATATTTTCAATATTCTTTCTATTCAGTTCATCCATTTCAGTTCATACATTTTTTAATGTTTTTTCCGTTTGCTTGACTTTTATGTCGCATATTAAAAGCTGCGTATGGCGGATGTTTTGTTTCTTTTGTATTATTTTCCATCCTTTTCCTTATCTCTGCGAGATATGTAGAGGAATATATAAAATAATAACGGATGGTGAGAATTATCACAAACCTTCTTTTATTGTCAACAAAGAGAAATAGACAGGAAATATTCTTGATTTTTCTTATTTTGTTTGCTGCGCCATTCGTTGATATGCGCAACGATTAAAATAAATACGAGAGATTTTTTTATTTCTCGCACGAGGATCATACAGAGTGATTTAAAGTTTGTCTCTTTTAGCGAATATATTAATAGATATTATTTTATAAATATAATAGTATTATTTTCAATAAAAAAATAAAACAAATACCAAAGCACTTTTGATAATTTATGCTAAATTATTCGATATTTATAAACATAATGCAATAAAACAAAAAAACTTATTGAAAATGTTGCCAATAATTTTAAAGTTTTATTTATTATTTTTATTTGTCAATTTATCGCAAATTCTAAAAAATATACTATTTTATCTGGAATATACATCTATCAGTAATTATCGATATTTTAATGTAACCATATATTATGATGATTTGATCATAATTTTGATATGACAATAGTTGGTTAAAAGATAAGATTCTTTTTTGTCTATCATTTTTCTGTACGAAAGCAGTTATTCAGGTTAATGATTTTTATATATATGAAACGAGATATTCGAAATAATGTTGTCGATGTACGAGAGAAAATTTTTTATATGAGAGCATCGCGGACAGATATCGAATTATAATATATTTATGCGTGTATATATTGTTGATTTTCTCTTATGCTTATGTTATATTATGCGTATAGCTCGATCGATACATTCATTGTCGTGTTTATTATTTATTCCACAACGTTATTGTAAATATTTGGTTCAATCGCAGGTAACTACCGGATGTCACGAAATAATCACATTATTAAATAATCAGTGGCGTAATGGAACAGTTATCTATAAAACGTTTTTTAAAAAGATATTTTCTGCGATGATAATTATTCATTGTCTGCACAATCACTTTTTAAATTGCTATTTGAAATTTAATATAGATTCATATTGAATATAATAAACTAGTAAATATGCTTTTAGTAACCATTTGGGCAACTCGACATTTACACATTATTAATTCATATATTAATGGAAAAAAGAGCTCTTTGACATGTATAATATTAATATTGAACACGCTTTTTAAATCACATTGTAGCTTTATACAGACAGAGTAGTATAATAGCGAATATAAATCAATAGAGAGTCAAGTTATTCATTTATGAATGCATTCATTTATAACACCTGGCACGAAGAAGTAGCATTACTCTAGTTTTAAGCTTGGTTAAGTGTTAAATATTCCACCGCAAGTTGCCTCAATTATTGCATTAGGGCGTAAGCTTAATTAAATATTCCATTGCATACAGTTAGAAGTAACAAAGGTAAACCTTTGCTCGGAGACACTCTCTCCCCTTTTCGTCGGCGACGCCCGCGTAAGATCCAGACGTCGAAAACTTTAAATAATTACCGGGCGGGGATTATCAAGTTCCCTGGGGGAAACGCGAACTTGGAAGGTACTGCTACTCGACTTAAATCTCGAGCGAAGAACGCGTTTGCAGCATCCGGCAGTGGCGTAACTAATGTCCTTGCAGACTGAAAAGAGGTAGAAAAAGATACAAGAGAGAAAAAAAGAAGAAAAATAGAGAAAAATGGAAAAAATATAAAAATAAATGTACGAAAAAGGAAGAATTTAAAACTTAGAATTGCACGTGTTTTACATTATCATATTTTATCTTCTTAACACGTATGATTTTTAATCTTTAAAAATGTTTCTTCTAAATCTTTATAAAATTTTTTAAAAGGAAGTAAATAAGTGTTGAAATTCTGCCATGAGCAGAATTATATGTTTAATTAAGATTAGATATTAATATTAGTTTAATTATGTCACTGATGTAAGATGTCAAAGAGTAAAACAGAAAAGATGAGTAAAGAATTAATTTACCAAGTTTTATAAATATCGTTTAATTATTTAATAAGCTGGAAAATTAATTCCACTGCATTTTAATTAGTTTAGAGACCAGAGAAGAGCAAAAAGCTGCCTGGTGTGGTCGATTAAGTCAATATTCAAATGACTCGTTTAATGCGAATTTTATATGGAAATGTGCGAATTGCACGTACTCGAAACATTCGCTAATTTACACTAATAAACATCTTAATTTCCATGATTATAAAATCTCCAGGAGTATCTTGCAACAGAAAATTAGATTTTATCGTGCTTGAAACAAATTTCTGGTTTTGCAATTTCGGAACTCTGTGAAAATTTTAATCACAGATATATATGTTAATATTTTCCAAGTAATACTTTTATAATAAGTAATAGCGTCTTTTACGTAACCAATTTATCAGAAATTTTGTTAACATTTTCTATTTTTTTTTTAATAATACAATTGAAGTAAAGAAATATGGAAATTGATAATGTGAAAAATGTAATTATAAACATTTATTTGACATAATTATAGAACTGAATATTTATATTTAATCTATAAATCATAATTTGTGTAATATCCGACATCAAAGATAATACATGAATTTATATTTAAATTTCATTTCTGGATTAGAAAGAAAGAGAATATTCCAAAACGGACAATTTGTTTAATTTTCAGAGCAATTCTTGACGATCCTTGACTATCATTCCCATAAGTGCACCCCCGTAGCAGTTTGTCCTTTAAGGGAATGATTTTTATTAGTCTTTCGAGACGTATGGCACAAAATGGAGCGGATAAGCAAAAGTGAAAGAGAAAGAGAATGGTCGAGGTAGTGGTCAACATGAAGTACGAGAAGGAAATAATACTGTCCCTCAATTTTACGGACCAAGTCGTTCACTCGACCGTCCATGAAGACGAAACTAAATTGCGGCCAATATCAAGTCTCATCCTACTTCCTGAATATTACCGCCGAATCCTCTGTGCATCATTCTCAAGACAGGACAATTTCGACGTTTCGTGCTTTCGAACGTCAGGCGCACGACTGGTTTTCGTCGATTCGGAGACGCTGGAGGTCGACTCGAGCGAGTGCGCGCATCAGGCAAATGGAACGTGCGAGCTATTGCAATTTCCGTGCGGAATTCCATACGTGACATGGCTAGGATCTGGCCGTGCTTTGTCTCTAGATTCGATCACAGTCAGAAATGTTCCTATTTTCGTAGAGATGCCATTGGTTCTTTTTACAATCTTTGGAGAACGAAATGAATATTTATTCTACATGAATATTTATTCTATTCTGTCTTACTAGATTGCATTGAAAGATATTTTAGTGTCGCGTATTCAATGTAAAACGCTTATACTGTTTCTGGAATCACGATACTTATCGAATTTCAAGTGTAATATTTTGTAATATTTTAATGGTATAATTTCAGTGAAATCTCTAAATTGCTCTATATGTGAAACTGGCATCTGGCTTAAACACTTCAATGGGATCGAGATGATCGTATTAGTCAATAATTACATTCGTCGTGGCGTGCATTAGTTTTGATTATGTGAGACTCTTCGTGCATTTGGATGCGATTAGAATGCGATTATGATCTGTAAATCAATCGAGTTACCGCGTGAGGATTATATATCAGATGTAATACAATGTCATTGCGACAACACAATTTACCTAGCATGCGGCGCTACCATGTGGCGTTAATTAATCTAAACGATTATACCTAGCCACATTGTTTGAAGCATCGAATTAATTACGGGAAACGCTGAACTCTATATCGCAGGAATGCTTGGGAAAGTTTCAACCGCGTTCCAGAGATTAGACCCGGTTCGGTTCTGTCTCGAAGGAAACCTGCACTTCCCATCTTATCCTTTAAAAAAGGGTGGTTCTAGGCAAATGGTTTCCTAGGACACGCAAGTTTCTTGCAAGAAGCTGTACAAATCTAATTATGATATAATCTGATAAAAACTATTGTATATTAGTAATATCTTGCATGATGTTTGTATTGAATAATACTGAAATTATGTATAATCGATAAGATCAATTAAAAGCTTCTTCTTGTTTTTTTTAGTGTTTCCGTAAATTTACTTATGTTTTTAATTTTCTGTTGAATTAAATATTTATTTTATAAAAATACAATCCATTTAAGTTTTTAAGTAATTTGGTCTACAGGTCGTAATTGGATGGTCGTAATTTCTTCAAGATTTTCTCAAGCGGTAAAGATGATATCATTTTCTTGTAGATATATTTTATTTGTCGTAATGATTGGTGCTAAGTGGATAACGTTAATTGATTAGGAGTGGAGGAACGTGAACGAAAAGTTTAGGCTTTTTCACGCGAGGATACTTCGACTAATTGGAAGATTACTTACCGTTCGCGTGCGCTGCAAGCAGGTCCCTCAGTTGTTGCTGGCCGGTGGTCAATTCCACGCAGCTGACCCTGACGCTAAACCTGGCGCCGGTTCTCTGTCGTTGTTCGGAAATTCCACGGAAGAGCCACGCTATGGCGCAAGGAATTGCACCTAGTGTATGGCCAGCCTCTGGAGTTCCCAGCATGGTATGAGACTTACCTAAATTAGAACGAAGAAATTATTAAACGTGGCGGATGCTTGCTGATTACAGGCGATGTAAACGCAGGATTACATCGGGCGCAGCGATATTCCGCGTTTAAACGTTCAATGTGAATGCAAATAATTTAGATGGAAATTATTCACCGCAATTTGAATTAATTATAATTAGTTTGCCGGTCGCTAATTCTATTCTACAAAACTCATATGATTTAAATGTATATCCACTCATGGATATTTCTTGTTCTGTATTTTATCGCTATTTTATTATTTATCGCTATTTTAATTTAACAATTAAACAATTTAACAATTAAAAGCTATCGTGATAAAATATTTGGAGATAAACGCAATAAAAGTTCGATGTCCTCTCTCTCGTCGATATAAGCGATGATGGGTCAAAGCTAATATTTCGAGCGATCCTTGTCAGACTGACGGATTTATTGACGTAGGGATCGAATTAACGCCCGTAACCGTGCCGCTGGTGCGATTGGTATGTGGACAAGCTTCATTGTTGATTGGCATAATCGCGATTTTCCCCCTCGTGTGTCGCGACGAATCAATTCACATGGATGAGTTCGAAAATCCTGTTTATGTATACGGCCGGCACACGAGCCGGCTGGGTGCAATAATTGCGATGCCAGATTTGCGGTCGGGCTCGAGCGGGCCGCTTAATTTGTTTACTATTTAGTGGACGACAACGTAACGGCTAGAATGACAACCGGCGATTATGTCGATGTAGACAGTGAACAATGCAACTATCGATCACTTATTTCGTGGCTCGACAAAAAGTGACAAAGTAAATATAAAAATTATTTTAATTAAGAATGAACAATATGAGTGAGAGTGAGTGAGTGAGAGAGAGAGAGAGAGAGAGAGAGAGAGAGAGAGAGAGAGAGAGAGAGAAAATACAGCACACGCAAAAAAAAATGGTTGTGTGTTTAACGACAATTTCGGCACGAATAACGGCACGTACTGTGCGAAACTTTAGCGCGAAAGTTTCAGCGAAATTGAAAGTCGGGCTCAAACGTTCCGCTGTTGACAGAGAAATAAAAGAGCTCTTATTAAAATCATAAAACAGTCTGACGAGTACGGAGAGGCGACTTATGGCAGGGGAGTTACGATACGGAGGACGAGAGATTGAAGCGAAAGGCGTAAGATCCTGGCGGAGGGAAGCCCCGTCGGCAATGGCAGAGTAATGGAAAAGCAGCAGCCGCCGTTGAATCTTAAACGTTATTTAATTGTCTTAATGTAAAACGGTGAATTATGTTGTTATTTAATTAGAAACGCGGCGAAAGAGAGGGTCGGCCCATCTCGCCGGTAACGGACCGCGTTTTCGCGTCTCGGGAACTTTTCAACGGTTTTCACTTCGGAGAATTCGCGCTCCGCCGGCGAAGATTCGAGCGATCGAACCGCAAAAATTCCGCAAGAATTCATGCTATGCCGCCGCGAGATTCACGAGGTCGCTGATGACGAGATAGAAAAACGGAACGGTAGCCGCTGCATTCTCAGACGATCGGTATAACACTGCCGCATAAGGATACTTTGAAACGAATGCGAGTGATAATTAAAATTCCGCTTGAATACCTCGTACGCGAAAAACGTTAGCGCCGATATAGATCGCAGGTAGGAATTGCATGTTTATTGTAATCTTCATATAATCATATCTGTTCCTCTTTTCGTTACTTTTCCTCTTTTCTCTTGTTTTCTTCAAGAAATAACTTTACGATGACTCCAAGATGGATTGTAAAAATAATATTCTTTGAAAATGTAAAACGCGCTGATTTATTTGTATGTGCAACATTTAGGGATTTTTATGAGCTTTATAAATGCAAATTTCTAATCCAACTCTATTTATTTCTGATTTTAACAGACTTAATTTGTATAATTAATTATACATCAATTTTTATAAATATATCATTTAATATAAATAAAAATAATACTTCTAGGTATTGCATGAATGTGTGTGCGTGCACGCGCGCGCATGTGTGTGTGTGTGTGTGTGTGTGTGTGTGTGTGTGTGAGATTAGGGAATCGAATAATCCTTTTATAGACGCATAAAACTGAAATGAGAGAAGCATAGCACGCACGGTTTCTTTGACTGAATCGCTTACTAAGGTTATCATTGTCAAAGCCTCGTGTTTTTGAGAGAAGAATGAGAGGGAAATCTCGGTGCATCAAACACGCTTCTTCCCTTCGCCGTCGTTGCATAATCCACTTTCACGATCCTTCTGCGATCTCAAGGGGGTAGAGTGTCCACAGTCTGGAGTCTGCGCGCGCGGGGGTAATTAGGAACACGCTAACAAAGTACAAACGGGCCCATTGTCACATCGCAATATATATATATATATATATATATATATATATATATACACATGTACGTATGTATGTTGGTACATTTCTCTACCTTTTACGCGCGAGAGAAAAAGAGAGAGAAGTTCCATGCTGTGAAAGCACAAATTTCTCATCCCTCGCCTTTCTCTTTCGACACTCTCTCATCTATCTTTTACTATTCTTCTTTTCTCACAGTTTCTTCGCACATTCTTTGCATGCGATTTTTCAAACTGCAAATAGCAGACAAGTGCGCGTGAGAGCAAAACGCAGTTGGTTTCATCGAAGAATGCATCGCGCGAAATAAAAGATGTGTGCCGGTCGCCATTTTAGAGATTGTCAAGTTGACTGGATTGCCTGTGTCATGTGTATTCTTTTTTCTTCTCGTCTCGCAGAGATTCATGTAGATTTGGTCTTCCTTACGATTTCCATCCTGCCTTCCTTATTCTCTCACCATTCTAACCGCGGTCGATCTTCTTTTCTTGTCTCCCTTTTTCTGCGGCGAGACACGACGGGTGTAAGTTAGGAAAGGTATAATCGAAGTATAAAAAAAAGAGCAGGAGAATAAGAAGGAGTTACGTAAAGCAGCGAGGAAAATGGTTAAAAGTGTAGGGAAATACGAGAGGAAGAGAAACGTTCGCATAACGATGATCAAAAGCAGTTTGCTTGCGGACTTGAAATACTTTCGAAAAAGAGAGGGAAGATTCGCTGCATGAGTTCGTTTGGCTTCCTTTTACAGCTCTTTGTCTACGACCGTTACGCTCTTATCTTTCCGAGGCATCTTCTTTTATTTTATTTTCGACTCTATCAATTCTTTTTTCTCACGTTGCGACAAATCCTGCTCGGCTGTTTGTCGAACTTCGACAATTTTTCAATGTGCCATGGAATTAAACGATATTAGTCCAACAACGATAGAAAATGATTAATAATTATGCTTATATTGTTTATGTTATGATTAAATAAATTTTGAAAATACTATTATACTAAAATAATATATATTTAAAATGTACTAGTATTTTTTCATGTAATTTTAGAGATAATTATTAGCAAAAAATATTTCTATGTAATTATAATAATATATAATAACTTAATTTTCATAAATATTTTATAATTTGATATGTTCAATTAACTTTTGTTCTATATTCAAATAAACTTCTATATCTGTATGTCAAACATGAAATATTCTTTGAAAAGGTATAAAAATGTAATATCAGAGAAATTTAGTAAAAGATATTCCCCAAAATTTAATTGGTTCTGACGCCGACTATAAAAACAAAAGTCTTCTACTTTATTTGAACTGTATTTTAGTTGATGTTATAAATATTTTATCACACATTATTCGCGATTATAAAAAAAAATAACTGCGCACGCTCGATAGTCATTCTTGAAATAAATTATAAAATAATTGAGGCAATAAAATTTAGTAAAATAAAATTAATATAATAAGAAAGAAGAGAGAGAGAGAGAGAGAGTGAAAGATAAAAAAGATAACATTACTACTGTATATACATGAATTCTGAAGTTTTTACATAAATTTTATAAAACTCTTGTGTTTAAACGTGCGCATTTTGCTGGAAACTAAAATTCGATATTTTAATTATTATAATAATGTCTTTCAAAGCATATATTTGTACAAAATTAACAAATTTTCCATAAATTTGTTAATTTAAAGAAGTCATGTTCGTACAGAAAATGTACGATGACACGTTGTAGACAGTCTCTCAATCTGCGCTATATTAAAATTTGAAAAATACAAGGGGAAAAGTGTGTCCCAGTGGCATACATTATCATCATTCCTTCCGATCTCGTATCTCTCATTTTTCATTTCTTTGTCCTTCTTTATCCTAGGCGTCTTCACTTTTCTCACTCTCTTTCAACATCGACACCACTAGGATTCTCTCTTCTGTGCACTTTCCACGCATAATCATACATTTGCATGCAAACTCGATATCACTACTTAAAATGTAAAAGAACTTCGTGCCTCTGCCTACCTTGCGGCAGTGCGATGAAGAGAAATCGAGTAAGCGAAAGGCACGTCTAAATATAGAATTTTCGCGATATTTTTCTCAAAAGAAGGTATGATATATCGAGATGCTTGTGAATTTTATTTTTCGACTCAAAAAAATGTGCAAAACAATATTGAATATTTATAAACAATGATAATCTAATTAGGAACTCTAAATTATCATTGTGTAAACAATGGAAAATCTTTCGAAGAAAATAATGTGTAAAAAATTTTAATATTTTCAATGTAGTCAAAACATCGTGGCGGCAATGATATATATATTTCCCAACTGATATATTTCTTAAATAAGTTAAATAAGTTAAATAAGTTTCTTAACTTACAAAGCACCATTTTAAAGCATTATCGCGACGAAAGTAACCTTTGATAAATAACAATGACGATGAAAACGTATTTTTTAAACTTAATTAGGAATAAATTTGCTGAACATACTATGCGTTGTAAATATCTTCATAGAATATATAGAAAATATAGAAAAACTGTTTTTTGTTATATTGGCATCCAAATTATTGATTAAAATTATTAGAAACTCAATCAATTTACCAATTTTGGGATTCGCAATTAGCAGATCACGTAAAGCTACTATTGTGTCCTTAATATCGCAAAAGATTTTGTAACTTACCCAAACCAGCATGTCCAAAACAAAACAGACAGCCATCCGTTCCATTGATAACTGCGTGAATTACATCCGTAAGAGCGCTCGAACAGATCTCGGTCTGGAAAAATTAACAAATAATTTATATACGTATAATCGTTAAGTATTAATTAAAATATTGATTGATTTGTTCTTGATGATCAATATCTTGATTCTGATAATTATTATTTCTCGCATTTTCAATGTCAATGCAGTTTTGAGCTGAACGAGCATGACTTTAATTGTGCTTATCTCGCAATAATATTACGACAAGAGAAAGAGATAAAACGTCAAGCTTTTGTAGGACAGGATGGGTTCGCTCGGGTTCGTAAAACGCTTAAGAAAACGCGTTGGCGGGTCGGGTTTAATAAACGCGTGTAATGTTTCTAAAGCGAAAAGAGAAAAGAAAGACGCAAGGGGGAAAGAAGGGATTGCGAGATTATGGAAGATGGTCCTTTGTTTGCTCTTAATGTATTCATAGACTGGAAAAGACTTTTCCTGCATCAAGAAATAGCGTTTGGGTCTGGCTCAAGTGGGACCGTGCTTTAAAAAGGGTTTGACTTATAGTTAAAGGGCAGTCGACCATCGATTGACATTGAGATATCGAGTATTGATGAGAATTGAGGGAGATGCGGGAAAATCGTCGTTCGTAGGGTCGTTCGTTCAAGAGGCGGGTTTCGCGAATTTCCTGCGGAAACTGCTGGGAATCCCGAATTGAACCTACGACTGATGTTTCGCAAACGATAGAGAATGCTATTAAGTCGGATGTCCTTCTTCACTTTGAGACTACATAATAAACGGAGAATTATGGACAACGAAAGAAATGGAAAAAAACGGTCTGCACGGTCTTATGAGAGAAGGTTTCACAGTTTATGGAGAAAATCGGGAAGAAAATGAGGACGTGTCGGTGCCTTAGTGAAACAAGATTGAAATCTTCGTGGACGAGTATCGGATGAGCCTAAGATGGAAAAAGGGGCGGACGAAACTCTTGAAAAAGATAGCAAAGGAGGGAAGAATGTACTCGGGAGTTAGAGAGAGAGAGAGAGAGAGAGAGAGAGAGAGAGAGAGAGAGAGAGAGAGAGAGAGAGAGAGAGAGAGAGAGAGAGAGAGAGAGAGAGAGAGAGAGAGAACAGAAAAGTGTAGTTCCGAAAAGGCGAAGTAAAAAGCGAGATGCTTGTTGCGGATAAAGAAAGAGGCCAATCGTTCTCCCTCTTTTCTTTTTCTTTTTTTCCATGGTGGTAAAAGGATAGGGAAATAAGGAGTCTAGTCCCTTTCTCAATATGGTAATACCAATCTGTCGTTGCTCGTTTCAAAGGGGCGGCACAGCATGTAACCGCAAACGAGTCTGTCGATACTACCATAGATTTACATTGACTCCTGGGTAAATTTGGATGAAGAAATCTTTCTTGCATCGATGTTTCAATAAGAAATTTGTTACTTAAGAATAACTAATTTATGTATAGATGATTATACGTTAATTAAATTGAGATTCGCCGATTTTATTATCGATATATAGTCTATATGTATTTTATATATAAACTTATCTTTATATATAAAATTAATTAGATTCTGAGCGTAAAATATATATTTTCTCTTTATTTTCACATCATTAATAATTCTTAGAATGTTAGTTTGAGAGTGTTAGTTTAGTGTCGAGAATATTCAATTGATACGTACGAGAGATCGAGATGCCATCGTTTTGGCTGAACGTGCAGATACGAAACCAATGTCGAAACCGACGATCGGAGAATATCCGACACTTACCACGGCAACAACAACGACATTCATAATTATAACGGGATCATCCCAAGGGATGTAACGCAAAGCAAACATATTTCGCAGATACCTGCACCCTCTGTCGCCGGAGATCTCGCCCTTGAACTCCCCGAACCGTCGGCACGACGGTTAATGAAATACGTGACCGGAGCCACCGTCATAATCTCAAACACTTGATTCCGCGCCCGTGCGACGGGAGAAATTGCGGAAAGGGTCCCGCCGCGCCTCTGATGCGCGCGAGCGAGCGCCATCGATGTTGAGCCTTTGAAAATTTTCACCGGCGAGAGGCCACCCTCTGTGATGTCCGCCCTCAGGGTAGACACCAGCGCGTAATGCTGTTTAACTCTCTCTTTCTCTCTCTTGCTCGGATTTCTGTTAAAAATGAGTAACAATAGCAATTCACTTCCGCTTTGATGTCCCTTTAATAATCGAAATCCCCAGAATTGATACGCAGAGAATAACCGGAAATAGATTCAAATGAAAATTAGTTAATTGATTGGCCAGTTCTTTGTAGCGATCGACTGTGGAATATTTTTTCAAATAAAACTCCTGCGCTCCTCCTCCTTCTTGGAAAATAAAATAAAAGCTAAGATAATGTAAAAATTATATAAAACAATTTATTTTTATAAAGTATAAACGTCTATGTCTAATTATTATATTAATTTAGAATTAGTAGCTTTTAAAAAATACTTTTCCATTTATTCATGAAGCTTTTTATAAGTCCGGTATTATAATAATTTAAAAAAAAAATACACATTAAAGATTCGCGAACATGACATCGCAATCGCACTTGTCTTGTGATGTTTATTTCGAACGGAATAGCATGAGTTAAATGACATACGTCACGGTATGACTTACACACGAGCGATGTCGTGTCATCACGCTCATAGTCGTTTGAATTCGACTTGCATGACGCGTTTCGGTAACGCAATATTGGCGCACCGGACCGGAATACCAATCGTGCGGAGGGTCGGATGTGCCGCTCTCTCTCGCAAGCCCACCTTCGGCTGGCGAGGAAGAATTCACGACGGAGACCGTTCTCTCCCACTTTTCCTGCTTTCGATTTCGCCATCCACGTTCTCCTCCTCATTCTCCCTTCTTCCGATATCTCTTCACCCTTCTCCGAGCGCGAAATGTAAAACTCGTGTCGAAAGTTCGGAAAGAAGCTGCGAGAAACGTTCCACCCTCACGACTAAAGTGAGACGAACGAGGAGGGGTTCCCTTAATGGCTGGAAATAATCGAATGATCTTTTTCCCTCCTTCGTCCGCATCGCTGACGAATCTCTTAATTCGCAAGTTTTCCAGATGCCTCAACAGCAATGTCTTGTGACGAACGAAAGTAACGTTACTGTGGATACATTCCTCAAGTTATAAGCATTCATGTTTCTCTTATCGATGATTTTATGAAACATTTTTATCGACGATAAGAATGCGCAGTATTGTATAGAAAAATCATTCTTTTTAGATGATTGTTCTTTAATTCTATGACAAGAAAAATAATATGTAAAGAAATATTTTCTAATAAAGTTTGATCGGATTTTCTCTAACGAGAAAAATATTAACATTTTACATAATTAAAAAATAACTTTATTATTCAATCAAATCTTAATTTGAAAAATATGTGTTTCATAAAAATTGGTTTTGGTAAAAAATTAAAAATTACAAAAAGCAATTATCAAGCAATTAAAATTGATTACAAAAGAAGTCAGTTTTGTCTCTATGACAAGGAATATTGTCTCGTTTCTCATTTATCCAAAACATCACAGTTGCGAGAATTGCTATTTAGCGTTGTGCTTTTGTAAAAGCATAAGCTAAAGCCTATCGCAGGTAAATTTACATAAGAGCATACCGTATAAGCGTCTCCGGCCAATGAGACTCCTGGTATAAGCTTTACAGTACAATACAACGGCTTACGTCGGGCGCTTCATTGGTCGACGCGTTTATATGCTATGACGATGTTCTTATGCAAATTACTGCGCGATGCTGCTGATGTATTAATATTAATATAACTATAGAAACAGCAAAAGGCGACAGAACTTCATTAAGATATGCAATGCCAAGAAAATACAATATCAGCTTTGAATTAATATTTACTTACAATATAAAATATTAATTTAAAATATTAAATTCAAATCTTATATTGCGTGTAGAAATAAAATCTACCTAAGGATAAAGATTTAGTTACTTTTTATTTTGTTGTTATTGTTATTTTGATATTATGAGTACAAAACATTATTTCAATTTTTTCAATGAGAGAAAACAGATGCGCTATTAAGTGATGTGCTATATATATTTTGATAGATAATTATATCATCGCTTGTTTGTTCGCTCGTCTGATTCGCACAATAATAAATGCGAGTCACGTAATCTTTTTCTTCGGCACGATCATGAACGCTTAAAATGGAAAAAACGTGCTGAGCAAAAATTTGGCTACCAATTGTAAAAAAAAAGATACGATCATTTTTACCGAGGCAACATTAAATCATCCATTGTCAACATCATTGAATTTTTAACAATCGTGCCAATCACATATGTCAAATTTTGATGATCACAATGTGTTTTTTCTGGCAATTAACTTATATGATTGCGATTTTTTTCTCTAACAATTAATAAAAAATAATAGTTTTATTAAATAAGTTAATAATAATTAAAATTAATATTTGTAATATTTGTATTAAAATATTTATTTGAAAAAATTTATTTCAATTTAATCGAAAAACTTCTTAAAATTGTAAGAAATACTTCTCAAAACAATCTACATAACGAATATTTTTTGTTGGACATTGATTTTCTATTTGCCTCACTCGAATTTAACTATAGTAGTATAATAATTATACAAAAAAATATTATTAATTTATTTTTTATTATCTAAGATTTAACTGTTCTTTCGTTTTCAACTATTTGCGATGAATTCAATAATTTTATATGTTTTTGTCTTATTGCAAAGGGATTTATCTACAAGAAAGGGTTACAGGATAACAGTACATTTTTGTACTGCAAGACATCATTGCATTTGCATGCGCGAGTCATCGCGGAATGTCTACTTCGACGATGTTGTTCGATGAAAACTGTATCAAAGACAAACAGTCCTGAGGGGATACTTTTCGCCCTCGTATACGCGCGATGAGACACGAACAGTTAGCGATTGTAGGCTAGGTACGAATAGGGGATGGAGAGAGGCGAGTCGTGCGAAACAGACGCTCATATACGAAATACCCTCGTCGAAATTTACGAGTCGGTAATTTCAAAAATTGCATAGCAATACATGCTTTCTGCTTGGCATGCCGTGATTCATTTTAATCTATT